CAACTTTCAACTTTTTCTAAATAAAAATATCAACTTTCAATTTTTTCTATTTAAAGATTAATTGGGTGATGATGCTGATATGGCTAATATATATTTTTTTAGGTTAAATACCTGAATTGGTCCCTTAGCTTTTATTTTTGAACCAATTCATCATTAAACTTCAGAAAGTATCGAAAACATCTTTCAACTTCAATTTTTAACACCAATTTCGTCTTTTTGTAAGTTAAGTGCTGATGTAGCTAATTTTTCCGCTAAGTGATTGATTATTTTACATTTTCAATATTAGGTGGAAAATCCATCATGTAAAAGGTGAAAAATCCATCATGTAAAAAATGATTATGTGGATTTTTTTAATTTTAAATAATTTAAAAACTACTTTAATTCTTAATTTTACTTTATTTATATTTAAAAATTAAAACAACTAATATATTTTCCCATTTAATTAGTTCCAACTACCATAAGTAACTTTTAATTTATAAAGAAATAAATTAATTCTCATTTAATTTTATTAAATCAAATCACACCTACTACAATTATTTCCTAATTCATGGAAGAATTAATTAATTTTTATTTAAGTATCAAAAATTGAATTTGATGGGGGTGCTCAAAATATTATTATAATGGGTTAAATTCCTTCTCTCATTCAGAAAACTCTACCTCTATAAATAGTAGAGTTAGGGAGTGGCATGACCTATTAATTGTTATTATACAAAAGTTGATTAGGGAGAGGAATACTTAAATCTCAAATCCTAACTAATTTTGTTTTTGTAGGTTTTTTGTCATGAGATCTCTAATTGTGATGATTTTGGAAGATACTTGAAGATTCTTAGATAATATATTGATTATGGAGATTCGAGTATGTAATATATTTATTTTATTAGATCTTAGTATCTTAAATTCTACATATGTTGATCCTTAAAATTTCAACAAAAGAAAGAAGATGCTAACTGTGGACTGGCTTGGGAAGATTACAAGTCAATGACTTTTACAATGAATATAAGTAAACAAATAGAGTTAAATTTCCATTTTTACATGAAAAAAAATTAAATGGGAAAAAAATGAATGCAGTCTATAATATGTTTAGGGGTCTAGTGTTCTACCGACTAAATTACAAAATACATTTTTCGTATGTATAAAGATGTAGATATATCAAGCTAATTTAATTTACTGAACATTTGGTATTGGATATTGCAGGTTATTAATGAATCTTTGAGGATGGCTAGTGTTGCAGCTGGGATTTTAAGAAAAACAACAAAAGACATTCATATAAATGGTATTAATTAATTTGATTAATTAAAATGATAATATGCTGCCATTTTATTCACATTTATAATTGATCCTTTTTTCTAACTAAATAAAAAATAAATAAAATTACAGGGTATGATTCCAGAAGGGTGGACAATCATGGTTGTTCCTTCAGCTATTCACTTTTTTTTTTTTTTGAACAGCAATAATTTTATTGAGAATAATGAGTACAAGGAGTACTCAAACCCATTACAATCACCAATTCTTACTTTACATACCAAAATCAAAGCAATGACCCCCAAATAATGTACCCTTCAGCTATTCACTTGAATCCTGAAACCTACAAAAATCCCCTTGAATTCAATCCATGGCGATGGAAGGTATATTATATAAATTAATTATTTCTCTCCTCATCATTTATGGCCCTTTTATTTCTAATTTTGCTAACATGAAAGAAATTAAGTAGGAACTAGGACCAAATATAAAGGGCAGAAATTTCATACCATTTGGTGGAGGAATGAGGTCCTGTGCTGGAGCTGAATTCAGTAAAGTGCTAATGGCAGTTTTTCTCCATGTTTTGCTCACCAAATACAAGTGAGTTTACTCAATTTCAATTCACTCAAGGAAGGCACTTAACTCTAACTAAACATGTGATGAAGGCTAAAGACTTTCTTGTCTTTTCTTCAGGTGGAATACAATGAAGGAGGGTAAAATTTCCAGGGCTCCAGTGCTGGATTTTTTTCTTTTTTTTGTAAGATTTAGTAACTTATCGCTTATACAATTATATAATTGAAAAAACCAATAAAAGTTTAGTTAAGTTAATACTTATAAAACTTCAAAACTTTAATTTGAGATGAAGAGTAGAGATTCAAATTTTTATGTCACTAACCAATTAAACCTCCTATTTACTAAAAAAATTATATAATTGGAAAAAAAAAATAGCATGGTTTATGTCATAAACTGGATTTTGGAAGGAAATAAACTATTTTTTTTTATAAAACAACTAATAAACTTTTAAATTTGATAATTTCATCATTTTTTATATATTTTTATAATATATTATATTTGACATAAATTCAGAATTTGACACTAATAGAATATACAAATGTAACATTTAAACCAAACACAATCTTAGAATCTGAGTCCTGAGAACAGACACTGGAGGAAGAGGATCGATTCATTCTTTCCTCCACACATGTTTAATTATTATCCTTACACACCCACAGGATTGTTTCCCACTAATAAGCTATAGATTTAGAGCAAGAAAGAGACAGAATCACAATCATTGGAAACAATTTGGAATTGGAAAATAATACAGGTCAACACTTTATTTCCATTATCAACAACCTCCACGTCAAGAAGGTACCAGCCCTGCAAAACCAACAACATATAAGTTTTTTTGGTGAAAATTGTATATTTAGGTTCCAATACAAGGTATGTATTCAACTTAAAGCAATTGACAATACAAGTGGAGTAACTCTTCTTATGTTTAACCCACATTTTCCTTCATTATATTTTTAATGTGAGATTTTCCCACTCAATAAGTATGATACTGAACCAAGTGAAACTTATATTTTAACCATTTATTTTTGAATCTATACATTTTTAGTTTCTCAACTTCTAATATGTGCATATTTTTTATTCCTTAACTTAAAATTGAGAGACTAAATATGTGCATATTTAGACAAAGTTAACAAATTAACTAATTGAATGATTAAAAAATATATTTTTCATAGTCAATGGATCAAAAAAGTGCATAAAAAGTGAAGGAATGAAAATTGTGCAAAACCTTAAAGTTAAGGGACCCAAAATTGACATTTAACCTTTTCTCTTTCGTTATCAAGTAAATTGAAATATAAACGTGAAAAGACATGCATGGGTGATAAATTCAACACAGCATTAAGTATAGAAGAAGAAAAGGCAGACACGTTAAGTTGTTTGGGCTGGTGAAGAAAGGTTTTCCCTTTTTGTTTTTATGTGTGACTTTTTATAGTCTTTTAACGGGTGGTAGTATTTGAATTAAGGACACAATTTTCTTTGATCAATCTGTCTTGGTCTGTTTTGCCTTTTCTTGCTGACCAAAACAACTAATTTAAGCCAAGGAACTTGATTGTTCTGCAGTTCAACTTTCAAGTCAATACAGTGCCAGTCCTTCTTGGTAACCAACGTCTTTCAAATTGGTTCATTCTTTAATACATACATACATATAAATATATATATATATATATATATATTGAAGGTTAAAGAGATATATATAAAATGCTATTCCTT